AGCTTATCTTAATTAACATAAACTAGATACAGCAGTCAACCAATAAGAAATCTCCACACTTAATGGCTCGCTGGCGTTACTTCACAAACCACTCCTTCTGGAAAAATGCCAGGTGCCATCCAGACTTGTTTACAGACCTTAACAGATTTCCTTAACCAACCTTGCATCCCTGGGATGAATCCCACTTGATCGTGGTGCACAATCTTTTTGATGTGTTTTTGCATTCAATTTGACATAATTTATTGAGAATTTTTGCATCTATATTCATTAGATATTGGTCTGACATTTTTCTTTTTTTGATCTGTCTTTGCCTGGTTTTGGAATCAGGGTGACATTGGCATCATAGAGTGAGTTTTGAAGTGCTGCCTCTTTTTCTATTTCCTGAAATAAACTGAAGAGTATTGGTATTAGTTCTTCTTTAAAGGTCTTGTAGACCTCAGCTGTGTATCTGTCTGGTCCTGGACTTTTCTTGGTTGGTAGACTTTTGATGGTGTCTGCTATTTTGTCACTTGAAATTGATGTTTAAATTGTGCATGTCATCCTGATTCAATTTGGGCGAATTATATGACTCTAGAAATTTTCAATGCCTTCGATATTTTCTATTTTATTGGAGTACAAGTTTTCAATATAATTTCTGATTATCTTCTGTATTTCTGTAATGTCTGTTTTGATATCTCTTTTCATCATGTATGCTAGTAATTTGAGTTTTTTCTCTCCTCTTTGTTAGCATGGCTAAGGATCTGTAAATTCTATTTATTTTTTTCAAAGAACCAACTTTTTGTTCTGTCAATTTTTTTTCAATTTTTTTTTTTGTTTCAGTTTCATTGATTTCAGCTCTGATTTTAATTATTTCCTGTGCTCTGCTGCTTTGGTGTTGATTTGTTCTTTTTTTTCTAGGGTTTTGAGATGCAATGTTAAGTCATTTATTCATTGACTTTTTCTTCTTTTAAGGAATGAACTCCATGCAGTGAACTTTCCTCTTATGTTGAGAGCTGCAGGGATTCCAAATGCTTCGAGGAAAGCAGGGCGCCCTCGGAGGGCAAAAGCAGGAGGGTTAGAAGGGCGTCCCCCTCGACATGCTCCTGGGCCACCCAGAACTTTCCCCAGAYACCGCAGACTTACTTTGATTGGGACCACCAGGCACAGGGGGCAGCTGTAGGGCCAGCCGTGCCTGCCCAGAGCCCAGGGCGCCAGCGGGTCAGCGGGGCATGCGGACCTGGTCCCGTGCTGCCATCTGGCGTTCCCTTCTGGGTCCCTTTCTGCAGGGAAAAGCGGCCCAGTGACCTGTCCAAGTGCAGGAAGTGAATCCCTGCGTGGGAGCCTCCAGATCGGAGGAAAAAGGGTGGTGCCAGTGTTGAGAGCCTCAGCCAGGTGAAGGGGTGGCTCCTGCTGCCTTTGGTGCCAGCCAGTTTTGAGTTCTCCCCAGAGTTTCCCTTGAGTTCTTGCAGGGGGGGTTCCCGGGAGTTCTTGTGGGTTGAGTTCTGTGGGGTTGAAAAGTAAAGTTCATTTCTGCTTGAATCTACAAGTGGCTCATGACCTCCCGGTTTTTTGTGCCCAGCCAGACTGTGGCACTCTTAGCACTGCTTTCATAGTGTCCCAGAGATAGTCTCAGGTTAGTCAGAGTGAACCTTAAAAGGAGGGAGCAGCACCCCAACACCCTCAGGTGAAGGGCATCCCTCCCTCCCTGCAGCAGGAGTGGGGCGGCTGGAAGTGCAGCCGGTTAAGCTGGGCAGGCTTCCGGTCAAGGAGCAGCCTCAATTGCTAACCTTCTGTGGACTTTAAAGGTGATTTAAGATCTTCAAAAGCCAGAAGCCAGGTCAAAAGCCCAACACTGTAGCTGTTGCAGGTGGACGGAAGCTCTCTTATTATCAAGGACCACCCAGGCCGGTGCATTCCTGGCGCTGAGGCCCAGAACCCGAGAGCCTTACCACCGGTTCCTGTCCCTGCGCACCTCGGCCTGTGCAGACCCCTGGTGGGTGACATTGGGTTAGATGGTGCCGGAGGCCCCACGATGCTACTGCAGCACCTGCCACACTCCACTGGGCTCTTGGGCGCCATTTGTGCCACGCGCGGACCAGGCGACTGCGCAGGCACAGCTGCCACTTCTGCCGCTGCAGCCATCAACCCACCAAAGGGCTTCCCTTGCAACCATGCACCTTGGCCCTGGGTAGTGAGAGACCTACCACTGCAGTCGCTTCTGGCCTCGCTGCCCTCAACACACAGCAGGGCTCTGCCTGCAGCCACCTGCCTGCGCTTGCGCCCTGGGTAGTGAGAGGCCACTGCTCTGGGCAGTCAGGGAGGGCCCTGGCAGCTCCCTCCTCAAGGAAACAGGAGAGCTGCACCAACTATGCTTCTTCACCTTGAGTGTCTGGCAACAGAGCTCTCTCAAGTATGGAATTGCCCATTTATACACGGGCTAATAAAAACAACCCCTCACGCCCGCCCTATTGTGATGTAAACTAATCAATAAAATCAGTAAGAGTGTAAGTTATAGGTTATAGATTAGTAAAAAATATAGATTATTAAATGATAAGTGAGATAAGACAATTACAAAGCAAGAACTGTCATAGGCCTAAGACTCCATTTTTCTGCCATATATATATATATATATATATATATATATATAAACTGTTACCAGAGCTGTTTCTGAGAAACTGAATGAAAGCTGTTCTTATAAAAATTGTTTTTCTGTATCCACACATTGTACCCGCCTCAGGATGCAGCGGAGGTTGTGGGAGCTGCATCCTGGGTGGGTGCCCTTGAGGGTCTCCATGACTTAGACATAGACTTTCTCCGGCTGACCCCTGCCCAAGCCCTGGATGCTGATGTCTAGCTCCTTCTTGGGCCTGGGATGTGGTCAGCGGAATTGCAAAGCTGACTGCCTTTCTTCAGCTCCTGTACTTGCTTGCTTGCTAACTGGAAAATCCCAGTCCTGCTTAGGGCTGGAAGGTTCCACTTACTATTGTTTCAATCTCTGTGATTGGCTTACCTGCATGTCGCTGAGGAAAGCCCCTGAGTTGTGGTTTCCATCTTGAAGTTCCCAGGATACAGGCCGGGAAGCTGCTGTTCTCCCACAGAGCTTCAGTATCTAGGGTGGGTGACAGTCCCTGGCTAGGTAAATAAAGCTCTCATTGATTTGAATTTGGACTCTGTGTTTTCTGAAGTGGCTCCCCATAACAGCCCCACTCCCCTTTTAACAAAGAGACTAGTGCACGCTCTTAACTGGGGGGTGTCCTGATGCTCACCTGAAGTTTCTCTGAGCACCACTGAGTACCTAGCACTAGGTACTCAGTTGAGAGGTCCAAAGTTCAAGGAGGAAGCCCAACTTCAAAGTGTTGGTTGAGATGTTATCATGCTACATAAATGGTTTTCCAGAAGCTTAGGTTTGTTTCTCTCGCTATCCTAGAAGGACAGGCATAAAATACACTCTGCTGCGACTAATGCTGTAGATGGATAGTTAGCTGACACAGGATGAGCCGACTGAGACAGTCAATCAGAGATTACAGAAATGAGGAAAATAGTGTGGCTCAGTAGGACGAGTCAGCTGTGAATGGATCCAACAACCAACTGGAGTCCAGGCAGTAGTTTATGTGGGTAGGTACACCAAAGGGATCAGCTTCAGGAAAACAGGATGAAGGTGGCAAAAGCCACTTGTTTGGGGCTTAGCAGGTCACACTCACCTCCTCTCTACCTCCAGGTGGCCGTGTTTGAACCTAGGGCTGTCTGAGCCAAGGCAGGGTGTCCGTTAGTGGAATTTCACCTTGAGTTCCCACAAAAGCAACTCCCCTGCCTTGTGATGGCGCAAACAAACCCACAATTCATATATGGCCTCAGACATGTGTATGTGACCCAAAAATGTCATTTCATCAATCTGCTCTTGTTTCTTCTTAACATGTTTCCATGAGTCTTCTCATTTATGATCATCACTCTGCTCTGAAATATTTTCAAACATTCACACTTTAAATTGACTTTAATATTCCCTATTTTTTCAAAATTATAGGTCAAATAAACTTGGGTAAAAAATAGACTTTACCATTTACTGAGTATTTGATCAAATGTCATAAAAGATGAATACCATTACTGCTATTGTATTCTTTTGGATTTCTGCATTAGGACATGAAAAACTCATACAGTGAGAAGTATATATTTGAAATGATCAAAAAAGATTGATGTTGATAGTTGCTATTTTAATAAAAGAACATAAATCCTTTAAAATATTTTAACTCAGATTCATCAAGAACTTTTTTCTAAACTGGTTTTTTTCTCATTGTTATTCAACAGTTTCTCTTGGATCACTGCACTAGGATCACTAGATTGGAATTACCGCTACATATTCAGAAAATCAGGTTCCATCCCAAAAATACTGGATGAGAGTCTGTGTTTTAGTAAATCTCTTGATTCATGGTTGTGAATTCAAATTTTGAGAATCACCTTTTTTACTTAACATAACTTTCTTATCTGAGAAATAGACAATTTATCTTATAATTTTAAAATCACAAAGTGTATATTTTTGTATTGATGCCTTAATTTTACATCTTATTTCATGATAGTGATATCAATACCTTGGTTTTTTGACTCTCAACACTCTTTCCTCAGAGTTAGATAATAGAGATTATTACTTTATTACAAAATATTTTCTTGTATAATTAAAGTCACTAACCTACTTGAGAGCCAGTTCTACTAAATTTCATTTTATCTTCAGAGAACTAAAAGCTCTGTGAATGATGATATGGTCAATGTGATATTAATTTGACTAATACTATTTCAGGAACTGTTGACATTCAGGGATGTGGTCATTGATTTCTCTGAAGAGGAATGGGAATGCTTGGGGCCTGCTCAGCGGAATTTATACAGAGATGTGATGCTAGAGACCTACAGAAACCTGGTCTTCCTGGGTGAGCAGAACTTCTCTTCAGAATTCTTAATTATATAATTTTTTCCCATGCATAATATACTTCTGCTCTTCATGAAGGAATTTCAGATTTTTGCTTTTAAAAAAAACAGGCTTGCACAGTTTTTGTTACAGAGAAGAAAGTGTTGCTGTCATTACTTTTAGTCCTTAACCTCTCCATTTCCTGAGGTGATATATACCCTGTACTTTAGATTAGTGGTACTTACAGTAATTCAGTGATATAGAATGATGTGACCTACACATCAAAGTCCAATTTCTCCTCTTTACAGTACCAGAATGAAAGCATCAGTAGTCACAGGGAGAATCGCAACAAATAGTCATTTCATTTTCCAATGAACACATCTTATTGTCTCTAAACCATATTTGCACACCTTCCTCTGGAGTAAAGGAGAGAGCCTTGAGCCATGTTTCCAGGTAGATAGAAATTCATGAAACAGAGGACACAGTTGAGAGGTCCAAAGTTCAAGGAGGAAGCCAAACTTCCAAGTGTTGGTTGAGATGTTATCATGCTACCTAAATAATTTTTCAGAAGCTTGGGTTTCTGTCTCTTGCTATTCTAGAAGGACAGGTACTTTCCTGTGTTTAGCATGCTTTCAACTTCTTTAATTTTCTCTTCTCCTGCACTGATGTCCCAGTGTGTTCAAATTAACAGCCCAAACACTCCCCTTTGCTTGTGAGGGTCAGCGTGATCTGACTGCATTTCCATTATTTGTGTGGGTGGGGAGAGTATCTCAGAAATCTTGCACATTTCTGGATAACTCTAGGGGAAGCTATTGTATATATTAGTATCATACAGCAATTTCCCTAATTTCACTTATATATTTATTCACTGAAATCTGCTTATTAGAGCTCATTATGAATACTTATAATAGATTTTTTGTGGATTTTTTTTGCCATATAATTAATGTAATTCATAATGGCTGCTCATTTTGGATATATGGTTACCAGTGATTATAATTATATAAAAGTGTTTGTAAAATAATACAACCATGGTTTTTCAGAATTTTGTTGACTAAATTCCCTTTTTTTCTATTCTCTGTTTTATTTTACAGGGTAAATTTCATGTTGTAGTATAATTAATTGATGTGATTCCTCACATCAATTAATTATATTTTTTACCTTCATTTCATAATTTGATGGAAATTTTTAATATTTCAGAAATTAGGGAAATGTAATATGAAATTAAGATATGTTGAATCCTTGTTTACATTGGCAATAAAATTATATTTGCTTCTATTATTTTTATTTTAATTGTTAATTTGTTATTTCTATTGTCAATAAAATACCTTTGAAATAAAATATATTGTATTTCATAATTTTTTGTTTTAAAGCATGTTTTGCATATGATAATTTTTGTCACACCAGCTTATGGTCACTTTCATGTGGAATATTCTTRTATAGTTTTGCCTTCATGTTGCCTCCTTAAATTTAGTCTCCTGTAGATTGCATACAGTTGTATTTTTAAAAAATTTCCTTTGCTTCTTTTACTCCTTTTTCCTTCTTTCTGTTATTCTTTGATTTTTGTTTCATTGATTTTTATGGTGACATTGCTTTATGCCCCTTTCACTTCCCTTCATTCTGTGAGTATTGTTTCATTTAGTTTGGTATTTTATAAAATCACTTAAGCTTACACTATTTGTTAAGCTGGCAACAAATTAATTTCATAAGAAAATTTAGTTTATTTATATATCCTTTTAAATTATGTTATTGTTGGCACAGTTATTTCATACATTATGAGGTTTATGGTGATTTTTAGTTTTTATCTTTCAAAATTAAGTGTTTATGTCCCATCATTTCAGTAAAATTTAATTCTATATTGCTATATGACTTCTTCTTGCTAGGAAAACTTTAAAGTTTCACATGACTTGTGTTGCTGTGCACATTTATTTTATTTTTCAATATGAAGGATTTACTTTAGTATTTTTTGCAGGACAGGTCAAGTGGTGATGAAGTTTGGGTGCATTTATATATACTTAAAAGCTTTATTTTCCCTCACTTTTGAAGGATAGTATTTCTGGTTGCAGTATTCTTAATTGGTAATTCTGTTCTTCCACCCCTTTAACATTGTTTCTCACTTCCTTTCTGTAGTACCAGGCTTCTACAAAGAAATCAACCAATAATTATATCCAAATATCTTTCTCAGGGGCTTGTCTTTTTCTCTTGGGGCTCTCAAGATTCTCTCTTTATAAATGTTAAAAAATTGAGTAAAATGGGATTTGAGTCTTTGTGTTTTTCCTTTGGAGATAATTGTGAATTTTGACTTCTATTTATTGTTCACATTCACAATTTCTCAGCCATTTTTATTGATACTGAAGATTGAACTCAGTTGCTTTTCCATTGTCCCTTTCCTCAGCCATTGTTATTGCTTATTTTTTAAATCTTTTTTGCATTTTAACACATTTATTTTATTCATTTATTTTTATGTCATGCTAAGGATTGAATCCAGTGCCTCAGAAATGCAAGGAAAGTGCTTTACCACTGATCCCAACCACAGCCCCTCATTTTAAATTTGTGACCATATCTCACTAAGTCACTGGGCTGCCCTCAAACTTGTGATCCTCCTGGCTCAGCCTCTCAAGTTGCTAGGATTACAGCTGTGCACAGCCACTCTGATTCTCTCAACACTATTTCTTAAGAAATTCTTCAAGCATACAACTTTTTCTTGTTATTACTAATGATTTTTACCTTAATTTTTTTTTCAGTTTTCTATGTTTTGGTTTAGTTTACTAAATTTATTTCAAAAAAATTTTGTTTTGTTTTTTTGGGTAATTCATAACTCTCACTTTCCTAATATTCAATCCCTAATGTTTCATTTTGTTTCTTTGATTAAGTCAGTGTCTCTTTTTTCTTTGTGTACTGTTCTATTTTTTATTTGTCCATATTAAAAAAACAGCCAATACTAGATTAGTAGTCATTTTGGAAAAAAATATGAACATTAATAAAGAACTGAAAAATAGGCAAGCACAGTAATACATGTTTATAATCTCAAGTAATTGGGAAAACATACAAGAGGATTTTATGTTTGAGGCATGTTGTGGCAACTTCGTGACACCATGTCTCAAAATAAACAATTTTAAAAAGGTTTATGTTGTAACACACTGGTACAGCACTCTTAGGCTTAATCCTAGGTGATGCTCATAAAACATTAAAAGTAGAATGACCCTGTGATCTGAAAATGCAAATTCTAAATAGGTATTCGGAGTAGATTAAATCATCATGTTGGAGAAATATCTCACTACCAATGTTCAGTGCAAGCATTCTTCACAATTGTTAGGACATGGACTCAATATATGTGTTCATCCTTAATTTAATGAGTAAAAAAATGTTTTTATACACAATAAATGAACATTAAAAAGAAGATATTTTATCACTTAAAGTGTCATGAGATGAATATGAAGTGCTTTGCATTATGTAAAATAGGGCACACACAAAATGTAATTTGCAGCTTCTTCTGACTCAGAAGTGCAGAGAATAAATGGTTACCAGATATTGTGTTGGTCAATGTCTGCAAAGTATTATTGTAATGGACATGAAAAAGTAAAGAGTCCTATTGTACCCATGGTGAGTGTAATGTAGTCTTCTTTGTTTTTGGAAGTGGAGTACTAAGGATTAAAAACAGAAGCACTTAACAACTCAACAACATTCCCAGCCCTTTTTTATTTTTCATTTTGAGACAGGGTCTCACTAAGTTACTTATGGCCTTGCTAAGTTGCTGAGTGCCACTTTGAACTTGGGATCCTCCTGCCTCTGCCTCCCAAGTTTTGTGAATTARGGCTTGTACCCCCACACAAGCTAATATACTGTATTCTTGATGAATGCTAATATAACTAATGCAATGTTTGCTAAGCACTAAAATGATAATTATGTGAAATAATACACTTGTGAATTAGGTAGATTTAGTCATTTCACCATTCATTTATATCTTCCCTAGTAACATGAAATTTAGTTTGTCAATGAAACAAATTTACTAATAGCCAAGATTATAAAGATTACAAAGCAAGCCATTCACCTCAATAGTGCTGTAGTGATTTCATCCAGGTAATACTGATATTGGCTGTGAGTGCATATGTGTGTTTGTGTGTGTGTGTGTGTGTGTGTGTTCCCATTAAAAAGATTTGTCCCTATTTCTCCTTTGAGACCATATATTCTTTAACCCCGTGGAATATCTGTGTTATTGTTATCCAAACTGTATCTCTTATATCCAGGTCTCTTTCATGATAGACAGAAAGTGGTTTTCAGACAGTCCCTGAAAAAGCCATAAATGTTCATCTTTCAGATTTCCTATTTTCTATTAGAGAGAAGACAGTTGGTGGATTTTTGTATAATGGTATATTCTGGAAGAGGAAGAACTGGAGTGGATAAAAGTAACACACTCCTTTTTTCTGCTGTATTACTCTCCTTAATGATATACACATCGTAAATACTGTGAACTCTTACATTGTTTTGGTAATTCTCACAAAGAAAAATTTTTAAAAAATATTTTTTAGTTGTCAATTATTTATTTATTTGTGGTGCTGAGAATCAAACCCAGTGTCTCACACATACTAGACAGTGCTACCACTGAGCTACTACCATAGCCCTCACAGAAATTTTATCTTTCCGTTGTTACTTAGCTTATATATTTATGGAGTCATGATGGTCTGTGATGCACTCTTCTGCCACCCTGCTGGTGTCCTAACTACTATAAAAAAATTTCATGTTATATTTACAAAGTATATTCCCAATCTAATATGTAAAATAATTGTTATTTTTATTTATTTCAGCCATGAACTTTCATCATACCCAGAAAATTACACCAGAGCCCGACATAGAACATTTATTTAAAAAAGTGATAAATAGAAAATATGGAAATTGTGTCCTTGACTATTTACAACAGAAGAAAGTATGGGATAGTATAGGTGAGAGTGAAATTCAGAAATTATACTATAAAGGACAAGAAAAATTAGTGGTGACTGTCCATAATGAAAATTTTACTGTCAGTAGGCCTCAAGAACATTTAATACCTCAGAAAAGAATTCAATATATAACTGAAGGACAAGTTTCTAAAAGTGATCACTTTGAATATTTCTTTAAAAATGGTCCATTATTCAGAAGTGAACAAAAAATTCCTTCTTGTGCCCAAACATACACTTTTAATGATTGTGGCAAGGCCCCTGTGTACTCATTACTGCTTAATCAAAACTCAAACATAGAATTCTGGAAAGTATGGAACACGCATAATGAAACAAGAAACACCTTTAGCCAGGTTTCCACTCTAAACAATTACCAGTGTACTTATATTGGAGAAAAAATTTATAAATATAGAAAAACACAGAAGAACTCTAGCTCTGGTTGCAATATGAGAGAACATCAGTGTTGCCATTGTGCACAGAACCCTTTCAGAGATGACGAATGTGGGAACGTCTTTCTTCAGTGCTCAAAGCTGATGACCCATCCAAGTACTCAGGGCCAAGAGGCACCTTGCAAATGTGAGGCATGTGAGAGAGCTTCTAACCCAGCGGCTAGCCTTCCTCAATACAGTGGAGCACATCCTGGAAGGGAGCCCCCAAAATTTAAGGAATGTGTCCAAGCATGGAGTTGCTCACCTCTTTCTAAACACAAGTACCATAGCAGTGATCAACACTACAAATTTAAAGAATGTGGCAAAACTTTTAATCAACAACCACCCCAAGTTAAGTACCACAGAATTCATACTGGAGAGAATCCCTACAAGTGTGAAGAATGTGGCAAATGCTTTAAAAATCACTCAACCCTTTTCAAACACCTGAGATGGCATAGCAGAGAGGAAACCTATAAATGTAAAGAATGTGGAAAAGTTTGTACGAGTTTTTCAACTCTTACTCAACACCAAACTATTCACACAGGAGAGAAGCTCCACAAATGTGAAGAGTGTGGCAAAAATTTTACTCAAAGAGCATACCTTACCCAACACCAGAGAATTCACACAGGAGAGAAGCCCTACAAATGTGAAACATGTGGCAAAGCTTTTAATCGAAGATCACACCTTACTCAACACCAGAGACTTCATACTGGAGAGAAGCCCTACAAATGTGAAGAATGTGGCAAAGCTTTTATAGATCATTCATACTTTACCAAACACCAGAGAATTCATACTGGAAAGCACCCCTACAAATGTGAAGAATGTGGCAAAGGTTTTAATCAAAGTTCACACCTTACTCAGCACCAGAGTATCCATACTGGAGAGAAGCTCTACAAATGTAATGAATGTGGGAAAGGCTTTAATCTAAGAGCATGTCTTACTCAACACCAGAAAATTCATACTGGAGAGAAGGCCTACAAATGCGAAGAATGTGGAAAAGCTTTTATTCAAAGAGGGAACCTTATACAACACCAGAGAATTCATACTGGAGAGAAGCCCTACAAATGTAATGAGTGTGGGAAATGTTTTACTCTAAGAACATGTGTTATTAGACACCAGAGAATTCATACAGAAGAGAAGCCCTACAAATGTGAAGAATGTGGCAAAGATTTTAAACTAAGGGCATGCCTTATTCAACACCAGAGATTTCATACTAAAGAGAAGCCCTACACATGTCAAGAATGTGGGAAAAATTTTAATCTAAGAGCATGCCTTACTCGACACCAGAAAATTCATACTGGAGAGAAGCCCTACAAATGTAATGAATGTGGCAAAGCTTTTAATCGAAGATCTCGACTTACAATGCACCAGAGACTTCACACTGGAGAGAAGCCCTACAAATGTGAAGAATGTGGCAAAACTTTTAATCGAAACTCAAATCTCACAAAACACCAGATAATTCACACTGGAGAGAGGCCCTACAAATGTGAGGAATGTGGGAAAGGTTTTACTCAAAAATCATGCCTTAGTCGACACCAGAGAATTCATACTGGAGAGAAGCCCTACAAATGTGAAAAATGTGGGAAAAGTTTTAATCTAAAAGCACATCTTACTCGACACCAGAGAGTTCATACTGGAGAGAAGCCCTACAAACGTGAAAAATGTGGGAAAGGTCTTGCTCAGAGAGTGCATTATTCGACACCAGAGAATTCATGCAGGAGAGAGACTGTAAAAATGTGAAGAACGTATGAAAGATTTTACTCAAAGAACATGCCTTATTTGACACTGGAAAATTCATATTGGAGAAGCCCTATATATGTGAAGAATGTAAGAAAAGATTTAATCTAAGAGCATGCTTTGTTCAATATCAGAGAAATAAAAATGAGGACAGACAATGCAAGTGTAAACACTGTTCCAGACCTTTTTGCAATTGCTAAAAACATTATTACTCACTGGAGAATTCACAGTGCATAAAAACCCTGAACAATGTAAATACTGTGCCTAAGTCTTTACTCGAATTTCAATTTTTTTTAACATTAGAAACCAGATACCTATAGGGAATGTGGAAAGACATTTGCCTGAAATACATGCCTTAAATAACAGCAAAATATCTTTAATGGAGAAAACACATTAGAAATATAAAAAATATAGCAAAGTCCTCATCTGTATGTCATATCATGATGTGTGTGGTAAAGAAATGAGGAATTGCCTTTAACTTTTTGTTAAAATTTATTATCAGCTGATGTGGTAAAAATAAAGAAATTCTAACAAGTATCATAGAATAGTGCAGTAAACTAATCTCTGAAAAGATATGAATATATTATAAATCAAAGATTACTCAATATCCACACTTTTGAATACTGGAGGAAAAAAATTTCAAACATAGATCATTTTATGAGAAGTCTTTTCCTGAGAGTTAATATATATTTTTGAGACTTTACAGTGTATTTTGAAATACTTTATTAACATTTTGTATGCATTTGGTTACTGAATAAAAGTAAAAATGTGTTAATGTGTTAAAAGTTTTATGTGTTGAATCATGATACTATCTCACTGGTGACACAGTTCCTCTTTACTAAAGGTTCTATATAACAGATATAAAAATAAAATATCTCCAGTAATATTTAGAAACATCAATTCTTCTAGAAAATAATTTCCCATAAATCAGACCTTTATTCTTCTTGTAATTATGAAGACATTAAGACAGTTATACATAAGATATAGGAACATGAAAATAAGCACCAGATTTCTCTATCTTGAATTAGTACATTAATCTTTTACCATATAGGTGCTGGGCAGGGTGGCACATTCTTTTAATCCCAGCAACTCAAAAGGCTGAGGCAGAAGAATCCCAAGTTCAAAGCCAGTCTCCACAACTGAGTGAGACCTCAGGCAACTTATGACACCCTGTCTCAAGATAAAAATAAAAGCACTGGGGATGTGACTCAGTGTTTAAACACTATGGAATTCAATCCCTTGTATCAAACACATATTTTTTTTACCTTATACAATGGCAGTACTTCTAAAAGCCCTGAAATTTGAGAAAGCAAAACAACATCCCAACACAGGGATTTTGAATACCCCAGAAACCAAGAGTCACCAGGGCATATTTTGTGAAAAGGAGAACCATTGGAGAGATATATTCCTGATGGTTGCCCAGGAAGCAATATGTTCAGCTGGACACTGACCCATCCTGGTTCCTGGCATGTCTGGTATAAAACAACAATATCAACAACAAAACTCGAAGAAACCAAGCAGTTCATCATAAAGGCCCCAGGAGTAACTCACCCCTGAGGAGATTTGACTCATGTCAAATAATTTAGAAAAATGTTTTTGTCCAATATCAAATGCCTATTTAGACTTGGGCAACCATCAGGAAAGTTTAACCAGAAATAATGGTCCAATAATGAGGGTGAAAAGAAAGAGCCATACTCATGGAATATTGAAGCTTTCCACAAATTTTATAATATTATGTATCTTTTTATTTTGGCTACYTTTTATTCTACTCTGTAATTTACAATGGTTGTCATACTTCTGGGATTAAAGGATATATAGTGTATGATACAGGCTCCCAAACTTCTCTAGCACTGAATCTATATGAGATACTCCAAATTATACCTATCCCTTTTTATGTATTAAGTGGAACTGGAAAACATACCAACACACAGGGGAAAAATAAAATTTTTATTAAGATAAGGCACTGGAGTGTCTATAAATCCTATTTAAAAGCTAAGCACAAAATAAAAAAAAAATATTACCTTAGTTTTTTTGTAGTGTTAGCTTTTTGGGTCAATGGAACACCCACAAATACTGATTTTATTTAAATTTATTGGGATATGTAAATATTGAATTTATGATAACAAACAAGGAAGCAGTGTGTGTGAGAGATCTTTTTATTTAAGATTCAGCTACACAGTAATCAGCCATTCTTCATTCTAAGGGTTATGGCTACACGTTTTCTGCTTGTCTTCACTTCAGGTCATCTGCACAGCGATAGTTCTCATGAGTTATTTAAAAGTTTTCTAAGGCAAGTTAAATTGTAATTTGGGAGTGACTTGGGAGTTATTACATTTTTAAAAAAGTATTTTTAGATGTAGAATGACACAATGTCTATATTTTATTGATTTATCCTTATGTGGTGCTGAGAATTAAATACAGTGCCTCATGCAGGCTAGGTGAACACTCTACCATTGAGTTACAAACCTAGCCCACATTACTGATTTTTGAATCCACATTACTGCATTTTTAAATAATTTTTAATTTATAGATAGTTATTGTAACTATTAGGCCCAGAGAGAAGTTTCAATTATGTATATATCATATGATACAATTAGTAATTCACATATTTTTTATTTCTAATATTTTGCATCATTGAAAGTGTTTCTATTCATCTTTGAATGCACTGCACATAAATATATATAGTCAGCCTACTGTGTAATTGGACCCAAGAGCCCTAGAACTTATTTTTCCTATGAAACTGTGTTTACAAACCCATCTTTTGCTTTTAACACATAACCAGAAGTGGATACCTGAATCATAAATTTATATGTTTTATAGAAAAGATCAGTCACTCCAGATKTTTTTTTTTTTTTTTGCATTGCTATGTGTTCCTATCTTAGGCACCTTGACACTGAATGCCACCAAATGTGCTCATCAGCACGTTATAATAGCATGCTTCAAAATGGTAAGTTTTCATGTCATTTTAATTTTTTTWAAATTTTTTTTAGTTGTAGATGGACACAATATCTTTATTTTTATTTGTTTATTTTTATGTGGTGCTGAGGATCAGACCCAGGGCCTCATATGTTCGAGGCAAGCACTTTACCATTGAGCTATAAAGCTAGCCCCTCATGTCATTTTTAGATGTGGCGTGTATGTGGTGTGTTTCCTTTATTCATCACACTATAATTGTGTAGTATAGCATGAGCCCCTCACTTTCTAAAACACACATACACAAATACACAGTATATTTACATCTTCCCCTTGTTTTTATGAAGAATAATCAGTTTCCCAAATGAATCAGAAAATAATTGCTTCAATATGGTAAGTCTCAAACCAGTTATGGATGACAATCTTATAATCATTCACCTTCAATAGAGAAGGGAGACTGCTAGGCAGGTGGGTCTGGAGGTTAAGTGGAATAATGGTGATTATACTATATCTCTATTTTACCTAAAGTGACATAGAATATTGGTGGGATATTTTTAAAGACCTATGTGTGAGACAGTATTACTATAAAAACTACATAATTTTTGGTTTTGGGAATTGAACCCAGAGCTGCTATACCACTGAGCAATATATCTAGTCTTCATTTTTTTTTTTTTTTTGAGACGGGGTCTTGCTAAATTGATGAGCTCCTGGGGCTGACCTCAGAATTGCACTTCTCCTGGCCTCAGCCTCTTGTGTCACTGAGTTTACAGTCATGTGTCTGTGCCTTGAAACAAAATGCCCACACAAATTTTAAATGCTCTGGGAAAGAAAATTTTTTATAGATGACCAAAAACCTGATGAGTTTTAGAATATTTCTAATACACCCAACAACTTCCTTATGTTTACATGTTGTCAAAATGCAATGGATTATGGTCAGAGTAAAACTATCAACTAAATATTCAAATGTTTTTTGGAGGGTACTGAGGATTGAACCAAGGGGTGCTTAACCATTGAGCCACATCTTCAGGCCATTTAAAAATTTTACTTAGACACAGTCTCACTGAGTTGCTAAGCGACCTGCTAAGTTGCTGAAGCTGGCTTTGATCTCAGGATTCTCCTGCCTCAGCCTCTGGAGCCATTAAGGTTACAGTCATGTACCACTGTGCCTAGCTTAAATGATATTAATGGAGTTTCACAACACCTTTCCAAAGCCCAGTAGGGAAAGCCAAGGACTTAGGTGTTTGTGGGCATCTGTAGGTTGCTATCTCAAATGTCACTCAAAGGAGTTGACTTTAATGGTTCTACTCTCTGGGTCTATACTCAACACTCTTATGGAAACTTGGAGAACAGAGTGAGCACTCTCATTTGAGCACATGCATGACTTGTACAGCACTTCTAGGTGCTATAAAAAGGAAACCGACGACAAAAGTTCCTTCACTGAAAATCTGCTGAGTTGCTGGAGGAAGATCACTTCCCCCCAAGTTGAGGAATCATGGGAAGGGAGGGCACCCCACACTAAGATTTCCCTTTTAATTTTTTTAATAGATTTTATGCTCTTTATATTTGTGCTTGCAGTGGATAAGCATCTTATTAATGACAATTTCAAACACACACACACACACACACATGACAAGGTACTGTCAAGTGCTGCCATTCACCATTGTGCTAACAGAATGGCACTCTTGCTTTATCAGCTCCCTAAGCTCAAGAGCCTGCTTCTGGTTCCTGTTCCCCACACGTGCTCCCACTTCATTCATTGTTGCATTTGAAACCACCAGTGTTAAGATCATCAGTCTTCTCCTCTCATCACATGCCTTACAAAGCAGGAATGGGAAACTGGAGGAGTTCTCTGCAATGGAACTGATGCAGGGACATGCAAGCCCTCCAGGACTGGTTATTTCCACTTTAGACATTCCTAGAAAGTGCGGGGCCCTTGAAGATTCTGAAATCATGCAGGTCTTTTGGTAAACACTCATCCCCTGTATTATTGTGGATGCGTATGCCCACTTGGGTCATCTGGAG